CGCAAGTTCGTGCCAGCCACGACAGACATCGCACGTCAGCAAGCTATCCCAACAGCACGACCTGTTCCGGAGCCGACACTCGACCCTTCGAAAATCCTGGCTCATCGGGTTCGACTTGACGCAGCTGGCCGACACGTGGATTTCTTGATCCGCTGGACTGATCGCACCAGTGAGGACGACACGTGGGTGCCATCCGCCTCGCTCGACGCCTCGCCACTTGTTGGTGATTACTTGGCGCGCAAGCGTGCTGCGGATATTGACCGCCTTTCTTAAAGGGGGGGGGTGGTGTAAGGAATTTCCCCGAATTCCTTATCGGGGTTGACTGCTTCGCGTACAGCCCGATTTTCGGAGTTCGCACGTTCGGCCGATTTCAACGCTGCCGAGGCTCCTCGCGTCGCCTTCGGCATTTCCATCGCCAAACTTGCACCCAACCTCGCCTCCCGAGGTTTCCTCCTGGTTAGGCTAGCCCTACATTAGTCTGTGCATTCATTGTATTCTAGGTTCATTCAGTCAGAGCCTCTTTATTCGTTTACCTGCGCACTCTCTTTTACAACTCATAACAGTAAGAGTGGTTGGTTACTTAGGCTGCGGAGGTTTTGAGAGGGTTTACCGCATGATAAACAGCGCTAGTTTGCTTCCAAACCGCCCAAGGAGGTTGGAAAATGGGAATCGCCACATCAGCGACAAGTTCAGCGAGGAGCTCCTTGACGGCGTTAAAACAATTTCGCAAGTACACGTGGCTTGCGACAAAAACAAGGCTCCTGACGGAGCTAATTGAACGAACTTCCGGGCCGAACCCAAGCCACACCACCAAGGCCAGCAGCAGCCTGCACCCTGCTTCCAGACCTCGCCTTGAGATTCGAGGTGTGGGTCATTCGAGATTCCACCTCCAACCAGCTCTGCTGCTTTGCCCCTACTTCATTAGACATCATTCCCATCTGTAGGGGTTCATTTTTGGAACTTCAGGTTTCAGGGCTCTCGTTAGCCCCTCATACCCTCCCTTACGCAACTTCAGATCCCCCTTTCCCTATCAGGTACGCACTGAACATATTTCATGGTTAAGGAGATTGAGGAATTGCTAAGAGAACGTGTTGTTTCGACTACGTATAAGATTGCCTGCCGTCCTTCACGCTTGCTAGATTAAGTTGAACGTCAGCAAGATCTGACACATATTTTTTTTCTAAACCCCCCTTTTCCTTCAGTTCATCACCATGGGTAAGGAAAAGTTGCACATCAACATTGTCGTTATCGGCCATGTCGACTCCGGCAAGTCGACGACGACTGGTCATCTCATCTACAAGCTGGGTGGGATTGACAAGCGTGTGATTGAGCGTTTCGAGAAGGAAGCCGCTGAGATGAACAAGAGGTCCTTCAAGTACGCTTGGGTGCTGGACAAGCTGAAGGCGGAGCGTGAGCGTGGTATCACCATCGATATCGCTCTGTGGAAGTTCGAGACCAACAAGTACTACTGCACGGTCATTGACGCTCCCGGCCATCGTGATTTCATCAAGAACATGATCACGGGTACCTCGCAGGTGAGTCAATCTCGCTGTCATTTTTGTTCCAAAATTTGAAATTCACTTTGCATATATGCCTTTGAGTGCAGGATCTGATTCATGTATGTATTGTTGTTACAGGCTGACTGCGCTGTTCTGATCATCGACTCCACTACTGGTGGTTTTGAGGCCGGTATTTCCAAGGACGGTCAGACCCGTGAGCACGCTCTGCTGGCGTTCACCCTCGGTGTGAAGCAGATGATCTGCTGCTGCAACAAGGTAAGCCTAAAATTACGGATCAACTTTTTCGCGTATCTTTGACCTATTTCTGGCTTAATCATACACCTTACGGACCATTAGTTCTCAATTTTTTCCCATACACATCACCGATCTGGGTCCCGTGCTAACATAAATATCCGTTGCCTTGTCCCAGATGGATGCCACCACCCCCAAGTACTCCAAGGCTCGTTACGAGGAAATCGTGAAGGAGGTGTCGTCGTACCTGAAGAAGGTCGGCTACAACCCCGACAAGATTCCCTTCGTGCCCATCTCCGGTTTCGAGGGTGACAACATGATTGAGCGCTCCACCAACCTGGACTGGTACAAGGGCCCCACCCTGCTGGAGGCTCTGGATCAGGTGTCCGAGCCCAAGAGGCCGTCCGACAAGCCCCTGCGTCTGCCCCTTCAGGACGTGTACAAGATCGGTGGTATCGGAACAGTCCCGGTCGGTCGTGTGGAGACTGGTGTGCTGAAGCCCGGTATGGTCGTCGTGTTCGCTCCCAGCGGTCTGACCACTGAGGTGAAGTCGGTGGAGATGCACCACGAGTCTCTGCCCGAGGCTGGCCCCGGTGACAACGTTGGCTTCAACGTGAAGAACGTGTCGGTGAAGGAGCTCAAGCGTGGCTTCGTTGCCTCTGACTCCAAGAACGACCCCGCCAGGGAGGCTGCCAACTTCACCTCGCAGGTCATCATCATGAACCACCCAGGCCAGATCGGCAACGGCTACGCTCCGGTGCTTGATTGCCACACGTCCCACATTGCCGTGAAGTTCTCTGAGATCATCACCAAGGTGGACAGGCGTTCCGGCAAGGAGCTGGAGAAGGAGCCCAAGTTCGTGAAGAACGGTGATGCTTGCTTCGTGAAGATGGTACCCACCAAGCCCATGTGCGTCGAGACCTTCTCCGAGTATCCTCCTCTTGGTCGCTTCGCCGTGCGTGACATGCGACAAACAGTGGCTGTCGGTGTCATCAAGAGCGTCGAGAAGAAGGACCCCACCGGTGCCAAGGTTACCAAGGCCGCTGCCAAGAAGAAGTAAGGTGGTTGATCATCTGGTTGGGTGCGCTGGGGGGTCGCTGTCTGGGATTGCTGAGAGCTTGCGGCTCATGGCATGGCGATCTTGCTAGATGGGCAACTGTGTAGTTTTATAGTTCAAACCCAGATGGACATGTCAGTGGATGCAGTGTAACAATTTTGTTGAAAGGTTTTGCCATAGCCGTCCGCTGACTGACCTACGTTATGTTGATTGAAGCATCTGAACAAAAGATATTGCTTGATTATTTAGAAATATTTTTTTTGAAAGTGTGTTAACACTTTCTAAAAATGTGTATTTTGAAAGCGAAGCTGCTTGTAATGCAGCAATGGCAACGGTGAAATGCTAGACGTTATTCGCCAATTATTTAGCAGGGGATGGAGGCCATTTGGCCTCCACCCACGTCTTCGTTTGAAATTTCAAATGTCTTTTATTTCCCACCCACCCACCCTAGCAAAAATTGCATGTTGTCATGTCTAATGTAGGTACCATATATATCCCGGACGAGAATGATGTAATGCCCATTTGAAACGAAGCTCGTTGCCATAGCAAACACAAGAAAGCAAGCTTTCTAAATTCGCTGTACAATATCAACAGTTAGGTATTACTGGAACTGGAACAAGTTAAATCTACGTTTACGACTCGATTGCAGGTCGAGAAAGGTCTGCGGTAGTGAGACGGGAATGTGGGGATACGGCTCAGACTGGACAATGTAGTCTTCATGCTGTGGCACTGGCGATACGAACGGTTCCTTGCGCGTTGCACGATAGCTGTAGTGCTTCTTCGCCAGCATTCGTAAAAGCACGGGCCTTCCATGGCAGGCCTCTATTCTAGGTAGGGGTGGCATGGCTGAAGCTTGTGGCTGGTGTGGGCCGCCAGTCGGAATCCAGGCACTTGATTCGAACAGGTCTACGCCAGAATCGGCTGTTCTCTCGGTATTGCCGTGATGACTCGAAACAACGATGTGTTTGCAGAAATTTGCCTCGACGCATCCATTCTGCAAGCTATAAGCGACGCCGTCGAAGAGCGGGACATCAGCAGCATCACTAGGATTTGTTACTGGGTCATTGAAGGTGCTAGCAGATGCCAATCTACTGACGTCCTTATTAGACGTCGGACAACTGTATCTCGTCGCCATGACGACTAAGCCATGGAAAGAATCTAAACTTTTGTGTTATCGTACGCTGGTTCTTGGTGATAGGTATGCCGTGGTGAAGTGGGAAAGGAGAAAGAAGGTATTCTGTGTCGTAGGCCTGTCTTCGTCATCTGAATCAATGAGGGTCCGAGTATGGGGTCGACTGAGAAACTAACGGGCGCGTATCGAAACCAGCGAATCGCAGTCACCGGTAGCAAGTGTGATTGTGCCGAACCGCGGCACAGGAAACCATGGTAGAGGTGATTCATCGGCATTCACACGAATGCATGGAGGCAGCAGCCACCCAAGACAGGGGAAATGTGGCACGTCCTTAGCGTGCAATGCACGAGTATGCGATTTTTCTTGTGATGACTACACGACTCACGAGTCACGATGAGCCAGTCTGCAAGCAGTCTTGTAGTTGGTGGGAGGGGATCTCTCATTTCCCCCAACCCTCAAGGGTAGGAAAATAGCCGCGTGCATGAGAATTTTACCTACATCCCACGAAGGAGCAGCACCGCACATACCGTCCTCGTTTTGGTTTGGTGATGTATGTTTTTTGCCGGCAACACACTTTTCTATATCATGAATGGAATAGCTACCAAAATTACTGTTGGACCATATTCTTCCTCTTTCCAACCTGGCAGCTTGTTTTACATATTAGTCTAGTAATTTATATACAATTGTAAACATATCAGCATACATTGCTTCCCTTTGTTTCAATAAGAGGGCATGAATGAGGCAAAGGTGACAATGAAAGCAAGCTAGACTCATCTGCATGTGAGAATCTAGAATGGGCTGTGGTGGTGCATGAACGGGGGCGTGGAAAGAATGTCCTCAGAATTAGGCGCTCCAGTGTTGGCGGATCCAGGCGGAAGGCGGGAGAGTCGGGTAACCAGTGCCTGGAAAACGGCAAAAGGAGAACCAACTGGGATGATTTAAAGATTAATGTTGTGGACCTTGTGCGTGTGCATCATTTGATGGAAGAAACCCTGCACAATACAGGTTTAAGTACTCTGTGCATATGCGTGTGTATATACCTCGCGGGATAATGAAGAACTTACAAGTGAGGGTCGACAAAATCGCTGTAGACGGATTCAATATGAGCGGCCCATCTCTTGCGCATTGCCACTCGACAGTCGTCGTCCACTATTGGCCAGGAGAGCTGCTGCAGCGAGAGCGACTCAAACTCCTTGTTGAATTCAGAAAGCCTGGGGACATGGGGGAACAGAGTGAGGAAAAATTAGTGCCGAGTTATGCGCATCACAGGAGGGCGGTAATATGCATCTTTCATATGCAACACAGGAGGGCGCCGCGATGACATGTGCAACATTTATGAGTTTTGTTTTGACCGTCTATGATTAGAGACGTCCCTGGTATGCACATCACATACACAGGTATCGTCAGACATCAGCTCCTGCAACAGTAAGAAGAGGTCCGTGCTACCATTCCCACGTTGCACTGTAATGAATGCCGGATAAGAAAGTAATTACCACGGGACTGACGATAGAGTAAAAACCTTCAGTATTACAGATGCAAACTGGATTGCCTTCCCCCCCTCACCTTCCCGGATCTCCCCTCCCTTTCCTCCACATGTTGTTGCCTCAGCTTCAGGCTCTTTTCGGGGGATGGCAGCACGTGCAGCAGCTGTGATGATAGCCCTAGCACGTGCAGCAGCTGTGATGATAGCCCTAGCACGTGCAGCAGCTGTGATGATAGCCCTAGCACGTGCAGCAGCTGTGATGATAGCCCTAGCACGTGCAGCAGCTGTGATGATAGACCTAGCACGTGCAGCAGCTGTGATGATAGCCCTAGCACGTGCAGCAGCTGTGATGATAGCCCTAGCACGTGCAGCAGCTGTGATGATAGCCCTAGCACGTGCAGCAGCTGTGATGATAGCCCTAGCACGTGCAGCAGCTGTGATGATAGCCCTAGCACGTGCAGCAGCTGTGATGATAGCCCTAGCATAGCTCATCTTAACACCTACAATCACCTTCCCACCTCCCATCAACCCCCCCCCTCTCCCCTCTCCCCCCCCCACGCCTCACCTCTCCTCCACATGTCGTTGGCTCAACTTCAGGCTCTTTTCGGGAGACGGTAGCACCTGCAGCAGCTGTGATAGCAGGGTGCCATGGGGATGCAAAAACAAGGGTCAGAGGAGAGCACAGAGGGGCGTGGAGGGAGAGAGCATTGAGGGGCGTGGAGGAGGAGAGCATTGAGGGGCGTGGAGGAGGAGAGCATAGAGGGCGAGAGCAGGGGTGGACTGTGGAAGAGATGCAGCGAAGACAAGACATTTTTTGAGGCGTCTCAAAAGTCGTCTACTTACACGCAGATGCAGCGAAGAGATGACATTTGAGGCGTCTCTTGAGGGGTTACGGAAACACAGAGGGGCGTGGTGGACGGTAAGGGCGTGTAAAGTCGCGCACCATTTGCGAAATTTGCAAATGGCTGGAGATCCGACGACTTTTGGTCGTTATTTCTTTCGCGAACAACGACCGCTTGGTCGACATTTGGTCGCCCACCAAAACGGCCCGTACTTGCCATTTTCTAGACTTGCCAAGTTTGCGGGCCGATTTGCGGGCCGCATGAACAAACATGTCAAATTGGCAGCCTCACACAAACCAGCCACTTTGCGACCCAGTCGCACATTTGACTCCAGTAGTGGCACAACCACTCGTTCTATCGCAGGGCGCTTTGTGCGACGATGGGCACATCTGTCGCACTAACTTGTCGACTTCGTGACTGTTTGCGCGTCGACTCGGCGTCGTTGTCGTGTCGGTTCGCTGAAACGGCCATCAAATATTTCGGGGTTTCGCGAAATTAACGAGCTTCGCCAAAAACACTGCGAGTGTCGTAAAAGGGTTACTTTCGCCAATAACGGCCCGACGGATTTTCCAAAAATTTGTTGTGGCACGATTTTACACGCCCTAACATAGAGGAGGGGGGCCAGGGGTGGTTGAGATGCAGGGATGAGAGGGGCAGAGAGGGGTTAAGGAGGGTGGTGTAGGGCAATGAATTTGGAATGTTGGGAGGTCTGGGAGGACACTGGAAGCGGAGGTTAGGTGGGTTGGATAGGAGGTGAGGTATGGGCTAGATAGTAGGTTAGGTATGGGCTAGATAGTAGGTTAGGTATGGGCTAGATAGGAGGTGAGGTATGGGTTAGGGAGCCAGCAGGAAGGGGAGACATTGAGGCAAGGTGCGCGATCTGCGCCTACTTGCCATGTGGACGCCACATCAGCATGGCTCACTCACATTCCCGGTAGCTGCGACTCACCCTCCCGGTAGCTGCGACTCACCCTCCTGGTAGCTGCGACTCACCCTCCTGGTAGCTGCGACTCACCCTCCTGGTAGCTGCGACTCACCCTCCTGGTAGCTGCGAGCAGGAAGGCCTGTGAGTGGTCCTCCACCGATGCCGAGACAGGGCTGATTGATGGGAAGCGCTGGCACGCTCTGATTGGTCAGGAGATAGAATGGGAGGAGAGGGGGGATGAGGAATGTTAGGGGCCCAGAGCGGTGCAGAATGGTGCACCACAGTGCAGAGCACCCGACGTCTGCAAGCTTCTCCACTGCAGCCGCCCGCCCGGCATGGGAGTGAGCGGCGGGAAGCGCTGGTAGGCCCTGATTGGCCAGGGGATGGAATGGGATGCGCGGGAGGATGAGGACCGTGTGTGTGTGAGTAACGCATGGAAAATACGGTGCAAAACGGTGCAAAAAGGTGAAGAGCAATCAAGGTCCTGATCAAGAGACTCTGTTGATGGAAGCGCTGACCGGCTCTGATTGGCAGGTGAAAGGGATTGGGGATGGGGATGGGGATGGGGTGGATAATGGCGGCAAGTTATTTCTGAGTTGGCTAGAAAAGGCGGGGGCCCGAGCACAATAATGATTGCAGTAACAACGCCATGTCACTAGATGCAAAAGGAAGAAGAGGAAGTGAAAAACATTACAGCGGATTCTGGTTTTGAAGCATATGAAACCCGGAGGCATGTGCTGGAGGTGTGATGTGATGATGGCTTACTGCTGGATGACGCATGTGTTGTTGAGCATGAACAGTGCCCTGGTGACGTCATCCTCACATGCAACCGCCTTCCCCTCCACAACCCCCATAAGCGCCCCCAGTATCCGTTCAGTCACTCCCGTTATAGTCACACCCTGCTCGCCCACTCTTCCCCCTCCTCCAAACTCCCTGAAGATGCTTGCCAAGGCTCCTCTGTAGGTTCGGACCGAAGCTGTGGGCACATTAGGGCCGGGTGGAGGGATGAACGGAGCAGGAGTGTCCCTGGTGGTGGGGTGGAAGGGTGGAGTGGTTAGGGTGGTGTGTGGTGGAGAAGGGTGAAGGGGAAAGAGGAAGGAGGCCAGGAGGATGAGACCAGAAAGACAATTGGGATGTGCGAGCAGGTGTTGAGGCATCAACCATGTCAACCAAGCCAAGTCAACCAAGCCAAGCCAAGTCAACCAAACCAAGTCAAGCAAACCTTTTGAGGCGCCTCAAAGGAAGCGCTGCAGGGGGCGACACTTAGTCAACACATGTCCCCCCCAACACATGTCCCCCCCAACACATGTCCCCCCCAACACATGTCCCCCCCAACACATGTCCCCCCCAACACATGTCCCCCCCAACACATGTCCCCCCCAACACATGTCCCCCCCAACACATGTCCCCCCCAACACATGTCCCCCCCAACACATGTCCCCCCCAACACATGTCCCCCCCAATACCCCCTCCCACCACATGACCCCACCCTACCCTACACACCCTTCCCTCCTACGCACCAGTCAGCATACTCCCCCACGTGCCCCACCACGCGCACCACCATGGGCAGCGGCACCACCATGGGCAGCGGCTTTGTGTCCCCCTGCCCGCCCACGGGTGCGCCGGCACGTGGAGGAGAGGTGGGAGGCGGGGACGACTTGCGGGGGGAGAGCAGCGGAGGGGACGCCCTCCGGGGGGAGGCAAGCGGAGCAACCTTGTGGTGGCGCGGTGAGAGGAGGAGAGAGGCAAGCTGTTGCCTGGGGTGGGGAGGGGAGGGGGTGGGGGAGGAGGAGCGGGAAGGGAAGGGGGCTAATGAGTAGGCTTGCATGACCAAGGGGGGGATGCCCTCCGGGGGGAGGCGAGCGGAGCAGCCCTGTGGTGGCGCGGTGAGAGCAGAGAGGCCAGCTGCTGCCTGGCGGAGGGGAGGGGGTGGGGAGGGGGTGGGGAGGGGGAGGGGAGGGGGAGGGGAAGGGGGGGGGGGAAGGAGGAGGGGAAGGGGGAAGGGGGAGGGGGACAAGGGTTAATGAGCGGCTGATTGGTGAATTTGTAGGCTTATTACAACCAAGTGAGGTGATTTTCTAGTCGGTTGATTATTGAGGCGCCTCAACGGCACTACCTGGTAGACCGCCACTGCTGCTTCTGCTGTATGAATAAGCACTCTCTTCTCTACTGGCTAGAGACCCTTGTGTTGTGCGTGTTGGCACGGCTGCAGCCGCAGCCCTCTTCAGCCCCACAACAACCCACTCTACATATGAAGCACCTCATACTGACGTCTCAAAAATACCTCAAACACAGGCTCGCTCTCTTCACCTGGTGGAGATCTTTGTGCGTGTTGGCACGGCTGCTGCCGCTGCTGCCCTGCCACTGCTGCCGCCCTCTCCAGCAGCGACCCACTCAACCTAAGAGGCACCTCAAACACGAGCTCGCTCTCTTCACCTGGTGGAGATCTTCGTGCGTGTTGGCACGGCTGCTGCTGCTGCTGCTGCCGCCCTCTCCAGCCCCACGGCCACCCACTCAAACGCCCCCAGCACGCCCTCCGCCAGGTGCCTTGGGAGCTGCGTCGCCCAATCAGACGCCACCACGTGTCCCCCTGGCTTGTCTGCCAGGTAGGCTTCGAACTGAGAGGGCGGGAAAATAGAAAAGGACAAGATAGTGAGCAAGGATGATGGTGCTACCATGTGCATGTCATCATGTCATCATGTCATCAGGTCACTATGTCATCATGCCATCATGCCATCATGTCATCATGTCATGCAACCGTCCGGTGTTTCCACAAGCCCCAGAGTCTCATTTCTCTCTCTCGTCTGGCAGTAGTTGACTCGAGTCCACTCATCTGTTACTGAAATTGAGGAGCTTGCTTACCACAGGGGCAGACCGGCGGGCAGCAACAAACATTTCAGCGAGCAGCAGAGACTTGCGCAAGCTGCCCGGCGGCGAAGAAGGGTCGGCAAGAGAGCGGGCATTGGAGAGGAGATGAGCCAAGATGGAGGCGAGGGAGATTGCTGCTGCTGCTGCTCTCGTGGGTGGTGCGGTGCTGGTTGTTGTGACATCTGCTGCTGTCGTGCTATTACCATTGTTGCTGCTGCTGCTGCTACTGATGCTGCTGCTGCGAATGCTGCTGTTGAAGCTGTCAGACGCGAATGAGAAGGAGAGGGAGGAGCGGCACGAATAGAACGAGTCTTGCAACCCACATTCCATGCCCTCAGGTGCAGCAGCAGCTGAAGCAGCAGCAGCAGAAGCAGCAGCAGGAGGTGCATCTGACCCAGTGCAGGGGCTTGGATCTACATTCAGGGGGTTTGGTCGGGTGCAGGCCTCATCTGAAGGTGACGTGGCATGCTGTGAGGGTGACGAGGCATGTTGTGATGGTGACGAGGCATGCTGAGAAGGTGACGTGGCTTTGCGCGGCCTACGGCGCGAAAATGAGTCGAGGGGGAGCTTGACGGAGAGGGGTGGGATGCGGGGCGTTGGTGACGCAACAACAGATGGCTCCTCCGCATCTCCCATGCCCTTCATCTCAGCTTTCCCTTCCTCCTCTGCACCACCAGCTGCAGCACCAACAGGAGTAGCAGCTGTGACTGCACCAGCACCAGCAGAAGAAGCAGCAACGTCGTCATTTTGCAGCGCTGCCATCTGATTGGTTGGACAGTGAAAAGGGTGTGAACTTGAAGCACTTGTGTGGGAGAGGGGGTGGGCCGAGTTGTCCTGCTTAAAACAAAAACAAAAACAATGGATGTGCCAGCAATGTACAGGACACCACCACACATGCATGTACAAATGGATACACGCATTACAATAGAAAAAGAGGGTGTATCCTACCTTCCCAGCCCCAACCCCTCTGAATCCTACCAAACCCCCTTTCCTTCTTCCCCACCTCCCCCCTACCTTAAAACGCACACCCCCACACTCACCAGCATGGAAACTGTTGCCGTCCATTCCTTCATTGACAGCTCAGCCTGCTCCCACGGCTTCCCCTCCACTGCCACGTCAGCACATGCCACGTCAGGCAGGTGGTCCACTACTCTAATGACAGCTGGACGAGAGGAAAGGGAGGAAGCACGCCCGCTGCACCTGAAGACAAGAGACATCAAGTGCAGATGGTAACAGACAGAATAATTCTTCTGAGATGTCCCAGCAAAATTCAGAAAGAATAATAAAGTATAACAGCCTATCCACAATGACAGAAACGATGAAGTGTAACGCATCTGTGGGAATTTGTGGGAACCTGAAGGTTCGAGACGTTATAATTGTAGTTGTAACGTGTAACGTCTCGAATCTGAACTAGCAAGCAAACGCGTTTCGATCGTCGCACGTACCCGTCCGTCACGATTTCCCACGGTCCTTCGAACTTTCCCTTTCCATCCGTCCTGCCCCCGTTGCTTCCCCCCGTTCCGCCCTCCGCGTCCCCCATCATCCGCTCCACCAGCGCTTGCGCATCCTTCAGCGCAACCAGTGGCGGAAACTTGTGCGCGTGCTGCCGGGTGAACTCGCGCGGAGAACGCGGGCTTGCGGAATCCGCACGCCCCCCCCGGGGCAGCGCCCTATTCATCATCTCCCCCTTCGTCTCACGCGCCTCTTCAAGAGGCGGTTCTTCATCCTCCCCCTCGTCCTCCTCCTTCGCCACGAGCGGTTGACTCGCGCACCCCCCCAATCCGAAACCGAGACTGGAATTTATCGCCGCTGTTGCGGCAGCGGCGGCGGCGACAGCGGTGGCGGAGGCGGCGGCGGCGACAGCGGTGGCGGAGGCGGCGGCGGCGGCTCGTTGAGCGGAGCTCCCGGCGGGGGAGCTGACCTGCAGATCCGCGGCACGGCGCCACCCAGCGAGACCCAGCACATTGCGGCTTCCGCTGAAGCCGACTCTCCAGCGGGGCGACGCGAGGTCCAGGTACGTTGGCGGCAGGATGGCGGCGCGACTCGCGTCGGCCGCGACAACTGTGCTCGAGTCGGGCGACGGGGAGGTGCAATAACTGGCCACTTCGCGGACTTCGCAGCCGTCGCTGCGCTTTTTCGCCAGCATTCGCGAGAGCTTTCGTTGCGCGCCGGACGGCGTCGTGTGCAGAGGAAAGGTCAGATCGGGACCGTCAAGGCGCACCAATACGCAATCGGATGAGTCAAGTGGACTAGTACCACTACTCTCGTTTATGGCATCTGTAGCGGCAATTATCGGGGTCCCCGACTCGGGGCCGCGCTCATGGTGAGGCGGGTTTGGTTTCCTCGGCGCTTCTACTGGTGGCGCGGTGGCGAAGGAAAAAGAAGGCAGGCGCATGGCTGGTGGTTCTAACGAGGCGCCGTTGCTTTCGGACGGCTGCAGCGCCAAGTTGTCGATAGCGGCGGCGCGGGAGTCTACGCTTGAACCATTGAGTTCTGCGCGCCGATCGTTTAAGAAGCCCCAGCGTTGCTGTTTGATGTCCGCGCCTCGTTGATCATTTAAGACGTCCGCGTCGCGTTGATTGCTGTGTGGGGAGTCGGAGTGCGGGCTGTCGGGCTCGTCTTGGGAATAGGGCGGCGCGGCATCGGCAGGGAGAAAGACGACGTCACGGAATGAGAGCGACGCCGATTCCGTCGACGACATACTCGGCTGCTTGCGATGCCTCGGCTGCTTAGACACTTCTGCTGCGTGTGATGCCTCGCCTTGGGAATGGGGGGGCTGCTTCCGATGCCTCGACGCGAACAAGCGCGACGTGAATGACACTGCTAGCTAGACAACCGACGGGCCTGCAATACAATTCAATGCCTGCTGCTCTTTGCACTGCTTGGCAATGAGGGCTGTGGTAGAGCGAAGAGTTGCACACTGCAAAAGGCAGGGGCAACTGCAGGGGCAACTGCAGGGGCAGAAGATACAACAAAGATGGCTGCTGCAACGGCATGGCAGGGGCAGAAGCACAAACGGGGGCCTGCAGCAAGGGGGGTGCTTTGCTGTGGTGAATGGGAAGGGGGGCTTTGCCTTGCCGCAGCTGCTTTGCAACTGTTGTGCCGAGGAGGAAGGGGAGGGTGGGGGAATGGGGTGGGGAGGCGCATTGCATTGCATTGCCTTGGTGCAGCCAATTTTCCTACCCATCCAGCCATCACATTTCACGATCTGCACTACTACACAGCGCGCCTCCTCCAGTTACTTTTCTGGAACCTGGTTGGCCTGTCTCACGCTGCGCACAGATACCGTCATATGTCACGAGTTTCGCGAACTCACCCCAAACAACTCAGATCAAATGTGACATCCAAACCACACCACACCACACCACACCGCAGGTTCGATAGACCCAGATGAGGGGTTTGGCTCGAGAATGATGTGAAGTGATGCAGCGCAAATCGTTGAGCCTGGGACGAACTGAAGCCGTCCGCGACCCAAAATTTCGCAACATCCATGTCTACTTGAGGCCGCATTTCGGGCTCGTGACAGCCCGTCCCATTTTCCAAAAGTCAGTTCATAGGTGGGAAAACCTACCTCTGTTACGAACGACGCCCCCCAAATTCCCAAAGTTTGTTCGCAGGTTGGACCGCGGAATGTTGTACCGCGTCTGTGCGAGTCATTCAAGTCGTCTGTTACGAATTGGGCTGTTCGTAACGGCGCAGACTATAGCATCCGTGAGGTTCACGAATTTATTTTCGCGAAAACCGTACCTGTTACTCGAGTACTTCAAATCAGAGCCCGAAATCTATACTCGATACTGAAATTGCATTCCGCAATTCAGCTGTCGTCCTTCGAGTGGGGACGCGGTGAAAGTGGAGAATCGATCGCCTAAGGATCGTTTTTTAGCGCGGTTATAAAAGGTTGTGTACCTTTCGTGTCCAAAACGCAGGGTTCAGTGCGGTGACCGAATCGATCTACCCCCCGATCCAGCACTTTCACCGCGTCCTAAACATCATGGTCGGCATTCTCGCGTCGCCGAGTTATCATTCTTCTTCGTTGGCGGCCCCAATCACAAGCTCGTCGTGCGCTGTCCTCTCCACCCATGTTACCATCTCCGCAACAGGACGCTCTCCGCGGGAAATGCCTCGATCTTCCGCCATCGTTGTGGCCCCCACTGCAGCCCATCGCGCGCACGTGCGCTCACCGCCGACAGCGGAGAGAAAGCCGCTTTGCTTGCTCCGCAGTCCCAGCAACGCGCAATGGAAAGCGCGGACGGAGAGTCTCGATGCACTGACACGTACTGACAGAATTGTTCTGAAACGTGACTCGCGGAGCTCGAACCGCAGGAGTCCGCCGGCGCGGCTCGGCAGGGGGTGGGGATTGGCGCATCCCGCCGCCAATCGCGCCGGCAAATTGCTGAAGATCGAGTCGCGCAACCGAATCCTGTTCGAGCCGCACGAGGTGGGACAGGATGGGAGCATCGAGCTCGCAGCGTCTGACTCGCGCGCCCGCCACATGCGGCGCGTGTTGCGGGCAGGCGTGGGGAAAAAGGTTCGAATCGGCATCGTGAACGGCCCGGCCGGCACCGCTACAGTGAGTATAGATCGGCCTGGTCAGGTGGTAGAGAGTGTGGTGTGCGTGGGGGGTAGAGAGAGAGGATCACGCCCTTCACCCCCTGCTGCTGCCCCGCTTTCTCTCCCCCTCCCCGTTGCCTCCCGCTGCTCCGCTCCCTCCCCCTACCTCCACCTCACCCCTCGCCGCCCCGCTCTCTCCCCCTCCCCCTCCACCGTCTCTGCCCCTTGTCCCCCTCTGCCCCCCTCCGCAGGTGGTGCGCATTGTGCCGGGCAGGGGCGGCAGCAGCGAGTCGCAGGGTGCGGGGGGCGGGGAAGGAGGGGCGGAGGGTGGGGAGGGGGGCGAGGAGGCGGAGGAGGGGATGGAGTGCAGGGGTTACGGGGTAGCCGGTAATGGGAGGAGTGGGGATGAGAGGGGCGGCAGTGAAGCACATATGAACAGTCGTGGTGGCTGTGATGGTTGTAGTGATGATGATGATTATGCTGGTTTCCTGCTGCAGTGCAACTTCCAAGTAGCTTCCGGTGTTGCCATTGCCGCCAGAAGTGTAACTAGTTCAGCAGCAACAGCTAGAGCCGTCACCAGCACCTTTCTACATTCCTCCTCCTCCTCCTCCTCCTCCTCCTCCTCCTCCTCCTCCTCCTCCTCCTCCTCCTCCTCCTCCTCCTCCTCCTCCTCCTCCTCCTCCTCTCCCCAACCCCACCACTCTGCCTCACGTCTTCTCCTTCCCTCCTCCCTCTCGTCGCACGAATCACCAGCTTCCACTTTCCACCAATCCCAGAGCGCCACGTCACCACAGCGCAGGCTGAGGCTGCTCCTCGCCATGCCGCGTCCCAAGGCCATGCGACGCCTCTGGTGAGTCTGAGCGGGTGAAATGAGCGGTTGAGAGCGGTGCGAATGGTCAAAGCCTCTGGTGAGTGTGAGGGGAAGGAGGGTCGATGTTTGGGTGAGACTCAACGGAACACAGGGGGCCTTGAGGTGGTCCTGTCAATCGCCACGTGAAAGAAGAGTGTTTTTGAGACGGCTCAAAAGTACTCTTCTTTCACGGGACACAGGGGGGCTCAAGGTGGTCCTTTCACTTGCCATGGGCCGCCTCTGGTGGGCCTAGAGGGGAGCGCAAGCGGGCGGGGAATTTTGCTGCTGGGGAACAGATGCTAGTTGGTATACACATGAGTGGCATATATATATATATATACATATATATATAAAGTGTACGGCTTGGATTTTCTTTCAAGGCTTTGCTGTGGGTCAAACCCATCTGATTATCCCCGGGAACACTGAGGGCTTCATTGGCCAATTAAAGCCCCATGTATGCCTTCCCAGGGGCATTCTGCAGCCACACGATTAGTTTTTTTAGGCGCCTCACAAATACGCAATTTTATGCAGAATTTTCAGCCATGATACACGCATGATTCGGATGCACATAAACTGCATGCATGTGTTTGTTGCCTTTCTCTTTGTGGTGTGTGCACAATCGCATGTTTGTTGCTGCGTGCATGGGGGTGTGTGAGTGTGAAATCACAACAGCACAGGTCGATTCTCGGGCAGTTCGCCCTTCAGGACGTCATGATTTGCAACGCTGCCCGGGTCGAAAGGTTTTACTTCGACAGCCAGGCCCTGCTGCCCGAGGTTGTTCGGCAGGAGCTGCTGATTGGAGCAGAGCAGGTGAGAGAGAGGGATAGATTGTATGGTGCGTGGTTGGTGGAGTCAGTGTGTGGCTGAGTGTTGGGATGTTGGCAGAGGCAGAGAAGCGTCAGAGTGCTTGCTTCTTCAAAGCACAGTGCGCTTTGAGATGTCTCAGAACTCTTCAAAGCACAGTGCGCTTCCTCCCTCCCACAATAGACATACATACCACGCAGTCCATTGTGTATGTTACCTATTATGAGTGAGAACCCTTGACTTGGAGGAGCTGCAGCCACGTGCTTCCATTCGGTACACATGCTTCCATTCGGTACACGTGCTTCCATTCGGTACACATGCTTCCATTCGGTACGCATGCTTCCATTCGGTACGCATGCTTCCATTCGGTACACATGCTTCCATTCGGTACACATGCTTCCATTCGGTACGCATGCTTCCATTCGGTACGCATGCTTCCATTCGGTACGCATGCTTCCATTCGGTACACATGCTTCCATTCGGTACACATGCTTCCATTCGGTACGCATGCTTCCATTCGGTACGCATGCTTCCATTCGGTACGCATGCTTCCATTCGGTACGCATGCTTCCATTCGGTACGCATGCTTCCATTCGGTACGCATGCTTCCATTCGGTACGCATGCTTCCATTCGGTACGCATGCTTCCATTCGGTACGCATGCTTCCATTCGGTACGCATGCTTCCATTCGGTACGCATGCTTCCATTCGGTACGCATGCTTCCATTCGGTACGCATGCTTCCATTCGGTACGCATGCTTCCATTCGGTACGCATGCTTCCATTCGGTACGCATGCTTCCATTCGGTACGCATGCTTCCATTCGGTACGCATGCTTCCATTCGGTACGCATGCTTCCATTCGGTACGCATGCTTCCATTCGGTACACATGCTTCCATTCGGTACACATGCTTCCATTCGGTACGCATGCTTCCATTCGGTACGCATGCTTCCATTCGGGTTTAGGCATGCTTCCATTCGGTACACATGCTTCCATTCGGTACACATGCTTCCATTCGGTACGCATGCTTCCATTCGGTACGCATGCTTCCATTCGGTACGCATGCTTCCATTCGGTACACATGCTTCCATTCGGTACACATGCTTCCATTCGGTACGCATGCTTCCATTCGGTACGCATGCTTCCATTCGGTACGCATGCTTCCATTCGGTACGCATGCTTCCATTCGGTACGCATGCTTCCATTCGGTACGCATGCTTCCATTCGGTACGCATGCTTCCATTCGGTACGCATGCTTCCATTCGGTACGCATGCTTCCATTCGGTACGCATGCTTCCATTCGGTACACATGCTTCCATTCGGTACGCATACTTCCATTCGGTACGCATGCTTCCATTCGGTACACACATTGCTCTTCCATTCGGTACGCATGCTTCCATTCGGTACGCATGCTTCCATTCGGTACGCATGCTTCCATTCGGTACGCATGCTTCCATTCGGGTACGCATGCTTCCATTCGGTACGCATGCTTCCATT